TAATACCATGTACCACAGTGTGGTGAAGGGTATACTTATTAATATTGACCTATGTTTCAGGGTAGCTACCACAGTATTCGGTATTTAGGCGATTTTCGACACGTGTTTCAGCTGCATTGGCTATAATATGGTATTTCGGGTTCTCATTGTATTAACAATCCTTATACTACCAATTATATCTCACATCTCTTTACTAAAAATGATTTCTCTACCCAAAATGATCGACATTAATCCCCATTTTGGTGTAGTCCCTTAAAACGTTAGCCCTCTATTATGATGTTCTCATGTCTTTAATGGTATATTTAAGGTTCTATCATAACATGAGTTTTTTCCTGGGAGCACCCATTAATTTCACATATTTTGAATGTCATCCTCATGGTGGAGGGTATAAAAATCGTTTTAACTTGTTTCAACTTAAATAGGGTTTGTCTCTGGGCGACCTGTACTTTGTTTACAATTTAACATGGACAGACATTTTCTGCAAATACGTTTTTACCCGCCAGAATGACAAATGTCAGGTACTTCTGTTGGATAATTCCACTAGGACCATACAAAGGCATAAAATGAGTCAGGACCTTATATTTTAGGGGGTTATGTCAAAACATAAACCTATATTTAAAATATTCTACGCACTAGTTCTACCGAAAGAGGTGTGGTACCGAACTCCATTAAAATAAGTTGTAATTTATGTTTTACATAAATTACTATTGCTCCTAGGACTTTTTGCATTAAAAATAGGACATGTCAGTCCACATTTTGATATAGCATCATATAAGGGCAACTATATTATGAGGTATTTTTATACCCTTCACCACACTGTGGTACAGGGTATTATGTCTTTGTGCATATGTTTGTAACAGGCAAAAATAATAGAGATAGACCCATGGTTCCTTTTGAGAATATGCATAGAATCACTTTCTGAGTCGACTTATGCATGTCCGTCCGTCTGTCCGTCTGTAGATGTTAAATTGTAAACAAAGTACAGGTCGCATTTATGATCCGAATTGGCTGAAATTTGGCACAGCTCGTTTGTTTGCCCCAAGGACGAACTATATTGAAATTGGGAAAAATCGGTTCAGATTTAGATATAGCTCCCATATATATTTTCGCCCGATTTAATGTAAACGGTCCCTATATATCTTTCGATTTGCACGAAATTTGGTACAGCGTAATGAATTAGGTCTAAAATGATGTGTGCAAAGTTTCGTGAAAATCGGTTCAGATTTGAATATAGCTCCCATATATATATTTGTCCGATTTAAGGTAAATTGTGTACCAAAGTCCCTATATATCTTTCGATTTGCACGAAATTTAGCATAGCGTAGTGAATTTAGTCTAGAATGATTAGTGCTGAGTTTCAGGAAAATCGGTTCAAATTTCGATATAGCTCCCACATGTATTTTCGTCCGATTTAAGGTAAATGGTGTACCAAAATCTCTATATATACTTCGATTTGCACGAAATTTGGCATAGCGTACTGACTTAGGTCTAGAACGATGTGTGTTAAAGTTTGTGAAAATCGGTTCAGATTTAATATAGCTCCTATATATATTATCGTCCGATTTTAAGTAAATAGTGCACCAAAGTCCCTTTGTATCCTTCGATTTGCACGAAATTTTGCATAGCGTGCTGAATTAAGTCTAGAATGATGTGTGGTGAGTTTCAGGAAAATCGGCTTAGATTTCGACATATCTCCCATATATATTTTTGTCCGATTTTATGTAAATGGTGCACCAAGGTTCCTATATATATATATATATATATCCTTCGATTTGCACAAAATTTGGCATAGCGTGCATGAAAATAGATTATATTTTTAACAACGCGGCGTACCGAATAGCGTGTATCAATTTTGCTATAAATCGTTATCCATAAATTTTCCTCATGTTACGCAGGCGGCTCTAAATCTGCTCGAATGAAATTACAGTTAGGATAGGTTGGGGAAAGAGTGAACATAGGCATGCAATTATTAGGATACATATGTACAATATACCCAAAGTGGTGAAGGGTATCATATAGTCGGCCCAGTCCGACTTTACTACTTTCCTTACTGGTTAAGTACGTTTTACGCCCAATTTGGTTTATTTTAATATTTTTCGTTCTTATTTCACTTCGATTTTATGGTAGGAAAAGTGTCATCCATTTCCTACCATAAAATCGAAGTGAAATTTGGCTTTTCGAAACCATGGGCACAAATAAATTCTTCACAGAATATTTTCAAAGTAAGTTAATCTTACTACATAGCCCCATACAAAGGCTAGGAGCCATTTTAGGTATGTTGAAGATCCTATCCCAATTGTTCACCTGCCAGCCTTTTTTTATGACATAATCTCAATATAAAAGCTCCGATCGATTTTAGGTATTTTTAATGTCCAGCTCATGGTGGAGGGTATAAAAAGTTAGGTTCGTCCCAACCTAAAGAGGTTTTTACTTGTTTTTGGTTAAGAAACAACAAGGATTAAGACAGAATATTGTGTCTATCGTTCTCTTTCTATCCGCCGTCGGAGGCACAGTACCCCCACTAGTCATTATAAACCAGTCATTAATTCTAACCATAACTGAGGCAATGTAATCAAACAGCTGCAACAGTATGTTTCTTAATTCCATACAAATAAAGCTAACAAAAGGCAACCATACTTGAATTACAACATTATTAAATTACCATAACCATTTATTTAAGCTCATCATTAAACAAATTAAATACACTTCTTGTTAAAGCACATTAAACAAATTACAATTTCTCTTCCTTTCATTCTATTTGCAGTGTCCTTTGCTATTTGAGTTGGGCAGCGAATGTTGATGGTGAAAAGACACAAATAACAAAAATACAAACAGAGCCAGAGCATGGCATGAAAAAGGATACATCATCATCTGCATCCTCGTCGTCGACAATTGTAACACTGCCACTGACAACGACGACAACAACAACGGCATCAACTGCATCATCAACATCACCACAGTCAAACATTTACCGAATTAAAAGACTGAATCTGTCAAAGGATAAACCGAAATTACGTAAACAACAACAACAACGAATAGAAGGACATCAACAACAATCGTCTCTTATCCAACAGGACCCTGACCATTATGTCGACAAATCAAAGGCAAACATCAAGGATACAACGGCCATGTCAGGTGATACTCGTCCAGCTGGCAAATCGAAGGGAAAGAAAGTGAAAGGCCTGGGAGGAAAAAATTCCCACAGCTTAAATAAGAAGCTATTAAAGTGAGTAGAGTGATGCGATTTAATTGAATTTCCCCAGTCATTATTTTATAATCCGGTGAAAGGAATGCAAATGATGTACTCTTTAATAGATTCTGTATTTTAGAATGAAGAAGAAAGAACATTTCATCATTGCCATTTAAAATTTGCCTGATAAGCGATTGACGTCTATTTTTGACAAATTCTCACATAATTATTTTAGACTGGACTTGAAATGTTAATGGTGGTGAATCTTCAGTCATTAATCATTCCAGCACACACGTTCACGTCCATTGATCTGCCCAGTCTCTGATTGTTTTATTAGCTTCTCAACGAAGAAAATAAGTCAAGGGTATCATTAGGTGGTACCATAACAGATATTCACAAAAAACACACACAGAACAATATTCAGTTGTATTGTTTTTATACAAATTAATTATGTTAAATTTTCTTTTGTTTCAAAAAAATGACGAATTATTTTAAGAAATATTTCAAATAATTGTGTTTGCAAATTGACGTTTTGAAACTCTGGGAAAAGTTTGCTCAGAATAATTGTTTTCAGCTTTAACAATAACCAATTTGAATTCTCAATTCCGCATGCCTTTGAGAATACTTAATATTCTCAAATTATATAACATTGAGGGATATGATAGTTATATTTCGGGACCAACAATGAAGATCAAAACATTTCACATTGAAAACGGTTTTTATACCCTTCACCATACTGTAGTATAGGCTATTGTGGCATTGTGCATATGCTTATAACATGAAAAAGGAAACGAAACGGGCTAAAATTGTCCCCTACATTGTCCAATTTTAACATACTGTCATAAAGAGGAACTTCGCCAACTTTCCAAGGGCCCATTCACCAAAAATTATGCGTTGCGGTAGATATTTCCGCCTTTATATTTCAAGAGATTTGAAACTATTTGGATTTCGATTCTTCGAAATCCTTGTATATGGTGTCTTTGCCAATATTACTGATCTTAATGTGAGTAATATCTTGAATTAAATGAAAACTAATTTTAAATTGGGTTATATTAAATCAGAATATTCTACAAAAATGTTTGCCATACAATTTTACAATAATTCTCAGAATAGACCAAAACTCTAAAACCAGTAAGGAAAATAGTAAAGTCGGACGGGACCGACTATATGATACCCTTCACCACTTTGGGTATATATGGGAGATATATCTAAATCGGAACCGATTCCTACAAAACTTGGCAAACGTTAGGCAATATTAATTTCAGTTCGTTGTGCAAATTTTTGTAGAAAACGGCCTAAATTTGGGTCTTTTGTGCACCTTTTACTTAAAATCGGACGAAACTATAAATAGGAGCTATTCTAAATCTGAACCGATTTCAACAAAAATTGCCACACGTTATGTTATAGTATTTTCAGTACGTTATGCACATTTGTGTGCCAATTGGACCCACCTGCGGAGTTTGTTGCAGAATTTACATCTAACTTCTAGGTTATACTAACTTCAGTACATTGTGCAAAATTTAGTGTCAATTTTGTGTAAAATCTGATGAAAATATATATGTATAAGCTATATCTAAATCTGAACCGATTTTAACGAGATTTGCCAGAGATTAATTTATATTAACTACAGTTCATTGTACAAAATTGTGTGGCAATCGGACAGACTTTGGGTCTTTAGGGCACAATTTACATAAAATCGTAAAAAATATATATAGGACCTACGTCTAAATCTAAATCCAAACTTAACACACTTCATTCTAGACTTAATTCAGTACGCTATGCCAAATTTCGTGCAAATCAAAAGATAAATGTGGACTTTGGTGCACCACGAAATATATATGGGACCTACATCTAAATCTGGACCTATTTTCAGGAAATTCGACACACATCATTCTAGACCTAATTAATTATGCTGTGACAAATTTCGTGCAAATCGAAAAATATATAGGGACTTTGGTACATCAAAAATATTTAGGAGTGAACCAATACAGCTGGAATCCTGAAATTTGGAGTTAGGGTCACTGTTGGGGTGTAGGATTGTGATATGTAGAAAGTTGGGATTTTAATTGTTCTAAATTTGGTACAATTTGTATTTGGGTGAACTAAATTTGAAGTTAGGATGATTGTTGGGGTGTAGGACTGAGGTATGTGGGTAGTTTTGGGCTGTTGGATTATGGTATGTAGGAAGATTTGGAAATTATTATGTATTATGTGTACTAAATGACACTAAATGTGGTACAATTTGGAGTAAGAGTAAACCTATAGAGCTGGAATCCTGAAGTTGGCTAATAAGATTTCAAATGGGGTGCATTATGTATGTAGTAATGGAAATTTGTACTTATGTGTGCAAAATGGTACTAAATTTAATTCAAATTAGATTTAAATGAACCGATAGATTGGGGTTTGTGGGATGTTTGTAAATTCGTACTTATGATTTTTAAAGTAGGTAGGTATGGAAATGGTTATTAATGTGTACTAACTGATACTAAATTTTGCTAAACCTATACTTGAAATTTGGATTTTCGAAGTATTACAAAAGTGCGGTCAGAATTGGTGTATAAGGTTGAGATGTGGATGTAGTTTTGAACAAGGTACTAAATGGTTCTAACATTTTAATAATGCCCGGTATTGGGTTTCAAATACTTCCCACATTAGTATTCTTTGTACCATTTGGTACCATTTCCCAATAAAGCCAACGTTATCAAACTAAAAGTAACTTACATTCAAAATACCACGTTTCTTTTGGGCGTTGATGATCAGTCAGTCACTTATAACGCAATTATATGTAGACTCTTATAGATTAGGCAATGCCAATTTCTCTCCTATTAACTTGTTGATGCCGCTGGGAGTATTTATATTTTAGAAACCAAATACACGAATTCCAAACTATACCATTTCTAATCGCTCCGTGCCCATGTACAATATTTAGTAGTTTCCATGCCTTTAGAACCCATTTAAGGGGACCCCCCCATTCTCGGGGTCAAAATTTTTGTTGATATTATTCGAATCTACACTAATTCAAGAATGTCCTTACAAAATTTCAGTGAAAATCTCAAGACCTCTTGAAGACAGGGACGTACGCAGGGGGGCGGCCCGAGGGGCCCGGCCCCCCCCCCCCCCCGAAATGAATTTTTTTCACAGTAAATCTATGTTTGCAACAGCGATTTTTTTTCATTTTGCGATTTTCCAAAAATATTTTTTCAAAGGTCCGTCATTTTGTTAATTTTAGAGCGACGTCAATAATCCTAGTTCATACGAGAGCCAGTCATGTACTCTTTCTAACACCGTTGGAATTTTCGGATTCCGATGTTCCAGTGAGGAGTTATCATGCCCGCCATCAAAAATAAGGACTTTTCTTTAATTACAAAAAACAACAACAAAAATTTTTTGTAAATTATTTTTCTTCCTTTTTAAATCTTCAAATATATATGTGCAAAGTTACAAACCTTAGCAAGCATTGGTATTGATTTACCAGCCCATTTAAAATCTTAAAAATAAAAAATCGAGAAAAAAATAAATATACAATACGTCCTAGACACATTTTCTTGCAGAAGTGATCCACTCTTTCCAGTACCTACCCCGCAAGGGGTCAACATATTTAAAACTAGTATATATATATAATACCAATTTCATTGAAACTTTGCAAATTAAAATATATTTACTTTACATAAATTATGTCTGGAAATGGGACCCATCGGTCCACTCCTTCTTGTATCTCCCCCACAAAATGATCAAAATTTGGCTGAAAATTATTTTCTAATGTCACGCGAAAGGACTATCCGATTTAAATTAAACTTTGCACAGCCTAATATTTTAACCATGACTGTATAAGGTTGAAAGACGGGACCCGTCGATCTATTCCTTCTTGTACCTCCCCCACAAAAGGCCATCATTTTGAAAACTTGTATATCTTATATGAAGCGAACGAATAACCCAATTTCATCGAAACTTTGCACATCGAAAATGGGACCCATTCCTTTATGTACATACATCCCAAAATGGTCAACATTTGGATGAAAATCAATTTTAAATTGTCACGCGAACGATTTGAACTAAATTTTGCACAGCCTATTATATTAACACGTTGACTTACAGTAGAAACCATTGAAATTCGAAAACATGACACTAGGCTTCTACTTGTACGCTGGTAAATGCACATTTGTGCTGCTACAGCCGTCATGTCACATTGTGAACTTGAACTTGACGGCTATAGACGCAACTGTCCGTCAACGCTTTAATCATGAGTGAATAAGGCTGAAACATGGGACCCGTCGATCTATTCCTTCTAGTATATCCTCCACAAAGAAGTCAACGTGTTTTTAAAACTTGTATATCTCATATGAAGCGAACCCAATATCCAACATCAGTGAAACTTTGCACAACGTTTTTTATACTCTCAGCCTTATCGCCAATGAAGGTATATACACTTTGATACGGTGAAAATGTGCTTCATCAAAATATTGCTTTCAGACCACATGATTCTTTGGACCAAATCCGTTTCAGAAAATTTGGAGTCGATTCAGAAATGTCCGTCCGTTTGACTGGCTGGTGCGCACGATAACTCTCTAAGGGAATAATTGATTACATTCAAACATTGCACATCTTATTATTTCTTCCAAACTTAGTTCAAGTTCGAAAATGGGGAATATCGATCCACTCCTTCTTGTACCTCCCCCACAAAATTCTAAGCCTATACCAAGTCCGATGTTGGGACCCGTCTGCCATCTCCTCTGATACCTCTTCCAAAAAGGGTCAATATTACTTGTAAATTTTATTTGAAACCCTGAATTGATCAAGATTACATCTGAAATGTATTTGATAAAAATATATACCTTATATAAGACGAACAATAAAACCAGTGTGTAACTCCGAAGACCTCCGGAAACCATAGGGCGAGGATGTATATATATATATCTGTCGGCAATACTGACTGACACTTTTTTACATGTTTTTATGTTTATACAATTCTTCTTTGATGCGATTTCAAGTGAAACTCTCAACAACTAAAGTAGATATAACCGATTTATTGTCTTAGCATCAAGCCACGGCAAGAGTGCTTCTCAAACTTTAAACGGTATCTCTGCGGTGTATATATGTGTTCATGTTTTGGATGTCCTACGCCCCATATAAAAATATTCAATTAGAGTTCGGCACATTTGAAAATAACGACGTTTTCATTCAATTATGCGAATGAATAGACATTCACACAAAAATGCCAATATACACAACCTAATATTTTAACCATGCCCATATAATGGGTCCACCCCTTCTGTTACCTCCTCCACAATATGTCAACATTTTGAAATTTGTAATTTTCGTATGGAACGATCATCTCTGGTACCTCTCCTGCATACGATATGTTAAAGGCTGAGGATGTATCTATAGGCAACATCGATTGCATAATATGGTCATTGACATCTTCTCGACTTTCCTTACGGATGTCCTGCTCAGAGTAGACTTGTCAACATCACAATCGACATTTCAAATGCCCATTCCAAAATTTTAAATTTTAGTCTTTATATCAATAATATATTTCAATATTTTTTCCCGCCCCAAAATGGTCCTAGCCGCATTTTATATTTAAAGCTTTTGGTGTTCCGTTCCTCTATGTCTACATACATATATATTTCAATATTCATGTATTGCCACAAAATTTTATCAAAAATTTGGCATTTAGAAATTTCAGATGTTTGGACATAGCTCCTATTCGAAGGTCCCTTTTCATTTCAACTTTTTTTAAGTTCTTGGTTCTACGAAGACAATAACAGTTAACAATTTTTGCATGATTTATAAATGTCACGCCCCATTTAAGTTTGTTGAGCATCATAGGGGCATTCTACCACCAAATTTGCTGTAATTTGAATTAGACATCGACGATATGACATCTCATATTTTTTTTAAGATTATAAAATAAACGCACACATATGATAGACATAGTTCTTATTTATTCTGGATGCTGCAGACTTACCTTATTTAATTTACAGTTTTAAATATTTTTTCTCTAAAGATGTTTGCCTTATCTTCATGCAGGCCTAGACAGTATCTCTATATCATTCAAAATTTAATTAAAATAAATTCAATTAACGAGCAGAATACTTTCATATATCACAACGAATAGAATAATGACAGCAATTCAAATTATTTTGCGATGAAAATTATGGTCACTTTGTGGTCATAACTTTTATCGTTAAAAATTAATTAAAAGAAAAACACAAACATGTTTTCAAGTTTGTGAAAAATGTTCATTCATAACCATTCAAAAAAATAATTATTGGAAAATGCCCCGTAAACAAGATTTTGTGATGAATTGGTCATCTCCTTGTTGAAATTGAATATTACCCAATGATCATTAAAATATGATTGATGGTTTGAAAAAAAAAATTGGCATAGAAGAAATTCTATGTTGAGCAGTGATTTTTTTACCACTAACTAATCACGTTTTTTTCGGCTCATTATTTTTTTTACCGGAGAATGGAAATTGTTTACACTTTTTTTCAATTTTTCCCAATTTGTGGATTATTTTTTTCTGATGGCATTTGTTTTTGGTTTTCTTTTTTTCTTTTCAGCAAATTGGGCTTTACAAAAGTCAAAGCACCAAACAGTCATAACCGGAAACGTTTGGCCGTTGAATCACGACGTCATGCCTCACCCGATGACTCACACATGTTCATTATAAAATTACCGCCAAATATGTACTATTATGCCAACCCGAAGCCATCATCTGGCAGTGGATCACCCAATGCCCTTCCATCGTCATCATCATCTTCGTCGTCGACGACATCATTCTCGGCCAACTCCGTTCTGGATAAAAAGAATTTCATCAAGTCGTTGCAGGAACAAATCCATTCATCCAATGCTGATGATTCAACTGCAGCAGCAGCCGCAAAGGATGCTAACGGAAAAAAGGTAAACAAGTTTTTCTTTCTTGCCACTTTTCTATGCCAGTTCTATAATTATTTTCTATTTCCAATTTGTTGAGTTTAAATGGAAAGTTGTAAAGAAATCTCCAAAGTAATGGAAGGAGCTCCTTAAAAGCATTTCGCTTCCAATTTGTTGATGACTTTTGGGCAGAACAAATTGCTGGGTAACCCATTGAGGGGATTGACTTTTAATGAGGTCTTTATAGAGATGAACTTGAGGGAGCCGAAGGACTGGATGGAGTCTTTGTTGGAAGTCTTTATAGAAGAGCTGAAGGTAGGGGGTCTCTATATAGACGAGCTGAAGGCAAGGAGTCTTTATAAATGAGCTGAAGGGGTCTTTATAGAAAAAATTAAACCCGTACTTATATACGAGCAGGAGGTAGTCTTTATAGACGAGCTGAAGGGAGTCCTTATGGACGAGTTTAAGGGGTCCTTATAGATGAGCTGAAGGCAGGGAGTCTTTATAGACGAGCTGAAGGCAGGTAGTCTTTATAGACGAGCTGAAGACAGGTAGTCTTTATAGACGAGCTGAAGACAGGTAGTCTTTATAGACGAGCTGAAGACAGGTAGTCTTTATAGACGAGCTGAAGACAGGGAGTCTTTATAGACGAGCTCAAGGCCGGGAGTCTTTATAAACGAGCTCAAGGCAGGCAGTCTTTATACACGAGCTGAAGGCAGGGAGTCTTTATAGACGAGCTGAAGGCAGACTCCCTGCGAGCTGAAGGCAGGTTTAAGGGACGAGTTTAAGGGAGTCTTTATAGATGAGTTTAAGGAAGAAACTGGAGGGAGTTTTAAGAAGGAAATTGATGGAGTCTTGAGGTACGCTCTGGAGGGAGTCTTTCAGAAGTTCTGGAAGAGGTGGAGGGGGATTTTTATATACGAACTGAAGGCAAGGAATGGTTTATGGACGGGACCTTGAGGCTGTCTTTACAGACGAGAATCTTTATAAAAAAGTTAAAAGAAGTCTCCATAGGCGAACATAAAAGAAGTCTTGTCTTCATAGGCGAACTTGGGGCATTTTTGTAGAACTCAATGGAGTCGACTTGTCGACGATAGAAAAAAAGGAAGTCTTTACAGCCTTGGGAAGTTTTTATTAGCGACCTGGCGAAGGATTTAAATTCGTTCCGATTTTGGGTTCATCTTTCCATCCCATCTCCCAATGGGTTAATTCACCATCTCCACTAACTAGAATTTCCAAATCAAAGACGCATTTCATTTGAAGGCATTTTGTTTGGGGTTTTCTTTTTTTATTCCCATTTTTTGTTTGTGGATTTGTGTCTGCGCATCAAGTTCAGAGATAAACATCAAGACCAGTTCAATGCCAGTCAGACTCAACGGAACAAACAAAAGATAAAGAAGTAGCAGCAACAAGCATTCGAAGAATGGAATAATGTAGCCAAGCAGCAAGCCATCCAGCGAATGCTGCTGCCGGGTACTCGTTACAAATTGCAAACACACGTTTCTGTTGTTGTTTTGGCAAATGTTGTTTTTGTTGTTGTTGTATTCAAACTGGTACTGACACTGCTGCACTTATCCTCAGGCAAGACAATTCAACTGAGTGTGTGTGTGTTTGTTGCGACTATGTCTTAGATTGAAGTGATCAGAGTAACACCATCTCGACTGGTGGTTTGCACTTAGATTTCCAAGATCAGTTTCTGTAATTTTTTTCTGTTTGCTTTTCTTGTGGTGATTTTTGTTGCTGTTTTTTTTCAAAAGAACCAAAACTCGTGAGAATTGCCAGATCCTAACTAACTCACTCTGACAGACCACTTGAGTTGAGTTTACTGGCATGGTTTGAATTGTTTGTCAGATTGTTGGTTGTCTGTTTGTCTGTCTGTCTGTTTTTATGTCTATCTGTTTGTCTATCTGCCCATAAGTAGTTGATATACCAACTGACACATATTATCTCGAGATATTTCGGTATTCCAGCATGTTAAGCATTTCGTATAACAGAACGTTTGCTGGTTCGTTTGCTCACACTTTTGGTGGCGAAAGGAAAAAATACCCTCTATTCGATTTTTTTTGGATGAATTTAATACAGCAATTGTATGCCAAGATCATATCGAGATAGCACCACTGACAGCATTAACTGTGAATTGTTACACGACATATTTACCGTAAATATTACACTGCCGTCATCCCATATGACATAGACATTTTTACAGTATTTTAATGCATTTTTTTCTTTTTGAGATGCTTGAAAATATATATTGGAAATTCAGATGTAATGCTAGATGTAAATAAATTTAAATTGAAAATATTTAATTTGAAGGAGCTGAAGGGTATTGAATCTTATGGAAATTGTAGAACAATATCTAAAAAAAATCAAATAACATACAACTGATAGCTTCGTTCGTCACACACTCATAAAACCAAATATGTATGGAGGAGGTACCTAAGAGTGTGGATCCATAGGACCCATTTTCCGAATCAGTATAGATTCTTAAGTTTTCAATCGCTTTGGGGAGTTACCAGAAGGAGTGGACCGATAGGCTACATCTTTGGATATGATATAGATTTGGTAAAAATATTGTTTTGCGCGATGTTGGGGTCAAATCGGATTATCCAAAAGCTTCGTATGAGATTTACACATGTTCAAATATTTTGACTCTTTATAGGGGGTGGTACTACAAGGATTCATATTCAAAGAAAATTTGACAAAGAAATTCAGCACAAACATTATTATACTCAAAGAAAATATTTTTCTCGTGGATTGGATCCTCCGAAAATTGAATATTTGTAAATATGGCATCACTTATAAGCCTTTTTTGCAACTTGTGTATATTTTTTGATATGCCGAACAAAATCTGTTGTTCTTTTTCTTTAAAACAACGGAATAAAATACAAAAGTGAGCAAAATTATTTAAAAATATGACTTTTACAATATAAACCTGTAAGGAAAGTAGTAAAGTCGGACCGGGCCAACTATATGTTACCCTTTACCACTTTATCTATATTCAAGAGATCCTAACAGACCTCACATTTTTGAAGGAACATTAACATGAAAGTGGACTAAATTAAATATATGTGATCTGTGTCTATATGTGAACCGACGATCAATAACCGGGTGCATGTGTGAAGTATGGAGTGTATATTAAGTTCCTTGTTCAGTTTATAACTCGACCCTATAATGTACGTATATAATTGATGAGCGTAAAATTCTATGACGATAAAAGCATGTCCGTCTGTCTGTTGTAATCACGCCAGCTTCTGCAGACAGGTCAAGTTCAAAAATGAGCTATATCGGTCCTCGTATAGGCATGCGCAGCTCCTATATAAGGTACCCCTAAATTTTTGATATTTTTGATTTCTTGAGCGCGCTATTCCAGCGAATACGCTGAATATTTTTGGTTTATAATAATTAAAAAAAAATTCCAAATACGTGCACTGTATGTTAAAAAGTTTTGGAAAAATGGGCCGCGGAAAACATTGACAAAAGGAACAACGAGAACTCACTTAAAAATTGATTTCTAAAGGAAAAACTTACAAATGTATACAAGATGTTGTTGGCTGTTCTGCGAAAATGATCTCTAACGCCATAAAATGGTCTCCCAAGCCAGAAACGCGTGGGCGAAATAGAAAAATCTCTCAATTTGATGAAAAAAAAATCTTAAGATGATGAGCCCAAATCATCTGTTACGGTATTAAACAAAAATGTAACCTTGAGTTCATGCATGTACAATCAGGAGAGTCTTGCTGCATCACATTTGTATGCTAGATCTCCTAGAAAAAATATTAAAATTTGCAAAAGACCACCTAAATTGGCCTATGTCTAAGTGGCGTAACATTTTATGGTCTGACGAAAACAAAGTGGTTTATAATTTAATTTAAGGGAACCCCACCCATTCTCGATTTTAATTTTTCAAGATTTTCAATGGGTTTGTAAATCAATACCAATGCTTGTACAGGGTTTGTAACTTTGCACATATATATTTGAAGATTTAAAAGAGAAGAAAAATAATTTACAAAACATGTTTGTTATTGTTTTGTTGTTGTTTTTTGTAATTAAAGAAAAGTCCTTATTTTTTATGGCGGGCATGATAACTCCTCACTGGAACATCGGAATCCGAAAATTCCAACGGTGTTAGAAAGAGTACATGTCTGGCTCTCGTATGAACTAGGACTATTGACTTCGCTCTAAAATTAACAAAATGGCGGACCTTTAAAAAAATATTTTTGGAAAATCGCCGATTTTTGACCAAAGACCAAGTTAAAAAGTGAGGAAGATCTTCACCGATTGGCTTTATCCTAGTTCATACGATAGCTATACACTCACAGAGATACGTGTAAAAATTTGGAATCGATTGGGTCATTAGTTTTTGAGTTATTGTGCCCGCCATTCACAAAAGAGGAAAACGCGTTTAAAGTTTGAGAAGCCCTTTAGCCGTCAGTTGATGATGACACAATAAACCGGCTATATCTTCAAGAGTTCTTGAGATTTTCACTTGAAATTTTGTGGGGACATTCTTGAATTAGAGTAGATTCGAATTAAATCAAAAAAATTTTTGACACCGAGAATGGGGGGGTCCCCTTAAAGTAGACACAGCTTCCACCAAAATTCAAATTTTGACACGTTTCTCTGGGAGTGTGTAGCTCTCGTATGAACTAGGATAAAGCCAATCGGTGAAGATCTTCCTTATTTTTTAACTTAGTTTGTGGTAAAAAATAGGCGATTTTCCAAAAAAAAATTTTCAAAGTTCCGCCATTTTGTTAATTGTTGTGCGAAGTCAATAATCCTAGTTCATACGAGAGCCAGACATGTCCTCTTTCTAACACAGTTGGAATTTTCGGATTCCGATGTTCCAGTGAGGAGTTATCATGCCCGCCATCGAAAATATGGACTTTTCTTTGAACCCAAAAAACAACAACAAAACAACAACAACAAATTTTGGTAAATTATTTTTCTTCCTTTTTACATCTTCAAATATATATGTGCCAAGTTACAAACCTTAACAAGCATTGGTATTCATTTACCAGCCCATTTAA